ATTAAGTAGAAAAGTAACAATAACAAATATAAAATAATTAAATGTCGAGGGATAAATTTATTTTATTTGGAATCATAAAATATTTATTGTGTAAAAATATTTATTTAGTTTTTAGTGTATTTAATAATAAATTTATTTTTTACAAAAGGTTAAAAAATTATATGACAAATAAGTTTTAGGTAATTAAAATACGAGTAACTTTTTTTTTACAGAATTGATCTCAAACATAAAAAGAGAGTTCTATTTCTAAAAGGTTTTAGTTTAAATCAAGAACAGGAATTAAGGAAAAAAACCAATAAACTGAATCAAGCTAACTGGATTCCTTTTTCTCTCTCTCCTTTCCTTTTCCTAGACTTTTTCCCTTTCTTTTACTTTTTCTGTGTCTCTTTTTCTCATCCAGGAGTATATACTAATACTATATATATGTGTATGCGGTGCCGTGGACAAGCCATTCTCGGTCTCTACTTCTCTTTCATTTTATCTCCTCTTTCGTTTTCCCCCATCTTGTTGACTACCCATATCCTTGATTCAGTCAAATTTCACATTTTTCCTGCTCTTTTTCATCATGGAAGAGGCTAAGGGTATGTTTTTCCTTCTGGGTTTTTTGATCTCTCATCGTGATCCTTTTGTTGTTTCTCTTTTCATGTTTGTTTTATATGTTGTTTTTGATCTTTCGTCATGTTTTGTTCGTCCTTCTGCAAATTTGTTACTTGGTGCAGAATTTAGAAATAAACTGAATTTCCTACTTTGCCTTCCGTTTCCAGTTTTAGTATAAGAGAGATCATTTCAATCTGGAAATTTGTGGGAGTGAAAAAGGAACAGACTTTTTCTAATTGTTTTTAAAAAAAGTTTTAGTTTTTAAGCTTTATCTGTACATTTTTAGACTTATATTTGTCTCATTTTCTGTTTGAAAAGCATCAATTTTCTTAATGATATAGACAATCGGTTATAATATTAATTGTTCCCTTTGCTCTTATTGTTGTTTCTATAGTGTTGGAAGCTAAAGATGGAACCATTTCTGTTGCCTCTGCTTTTCCTGGTCATCAAGAAGGTAATGTTCAACTTTTCGCGTTCCTTTCCACAGTTTTGCTTTTGGGATT